TCTGTTCCCTTCCCAGTCCCCCTCCCGACTTCCTCTCTCTCTCTCCCCCCACCCACTCCCACCCCCCACACTCCTTTCTCACAGCCCAAAACAAATTGGAAAATTGCTGTGAAATATTTTTCCAGAAAAAGCAGAGTGTTAGTATGACGATAGCTCCGTCCTACCTAGGAGCAGAGATTTACTACAGCTCAAGCAGTAATTTACAGAGCTGGCTTTGTAAGCTGTCTGTTTTAATCTAAGAGAATTTTATTTTTCACTTGCATAGGAAAGTGTCTGTGTAAATTAAATGTTGAACTTTTAGCTTTCCTTGCTATCAAGTGGCAATGTAAGCCATAGATTTAAAAAACAAAAAAACAAAAAAACAACTTGTACTTTAACAAGCAGCGAGGAAAGGAATCGCAGAGAAACTCTGCTAGTGCTAAAGATAATGAAATGCAGGCAACAAAGGAGAATTCTGTCCTGTCTGTGTGAGTGCTGATTTGGTGGCAGTCTTCAGGGTTATCTATGAGCGGTGTAGCAAAAATACACTGATTTTCTTTGTAACATTGTACTCCGTATATAACTTCACAAAATACCTCGTGCATAATGTATTTACGAAAGACCTTGTGGATTACAGTACTCAGGACGCCTTGTAGGCTTAGCCCCGCTGCTGCTGCTTCTGGCAGCCATGGCTGCTGGGCCGGGGGGGCTCCGCTGTGTCCCTGCAGCTCCCAGAGAACCAGCACAGCCACGCAGGCTTGCCCCCCACGGGTAAAGGCAGGCAGACAGGGAGTTGTGACTAGTGGAAGGGAATCGTTAGAGCATCTGAATGTCACTTGCCTTATAAGTTAGGAAAAGTGTGGACGTCACGTTTTTGTAAATAATGATTTTTATAAATGTTTTCTCCTTCATCTTCTTCCCGATCACCCGTTTCACAAAATCTTGAATATGCAAATCTCTATCACGCTGCATTTCTCCAAGTAGCGTTCCCATTTTGAATCGAGTTGGAGTCTACATGTAAGTTGTTATTGAAATGTGATTTTTTTTTCTGGAAAATACATGCAAATAAATCAAGTTGTGAACCTCTTTTATTGTCAGCCTCTTACATGTCGGTCTCCACTTGTGGGAACTGTAATGACACTCACACCCCTGTCCGGGTGGGGGAGAGGGCAAGCCCACGGTCTGGCGAAGGTCGTGACCTTCAGAGGCGACAACATCCCAGCTGACAACTCTCTGTAGACATGAGGAAGTGGGGACCCAATGCCACTCCATTTCTTTATCTAAAAAAAAAAAAAAAAATTGAACCTTCCATATCATATGCCTTCTCTTCTACAAGAAACCAGAAGTGCAAATAAATTAAAGGACAAGGTAGGTAGTAAGAAATAGTGAAAAAGAGCTTTCGCAGAAGGGAAGGGGTCTGAGAGATGAAGGAGGGGCAAAGGCAGAGAGGAAGCGACCTAAAAAGAAGGCAGGTGCGGCATGTGTGTGCGCCAGCTCCCCACGGTGGCAACCGGTACACGCTGCAAACAAGCATTTACTAATAAATACAAATGCTAAAAAGTAAAAATAATATTAAAGCTGGGCGCGGTGGCGCATGCCTGTAATTCCAGCACTCCAGAGGTTGAGGCAGGAGAATCGTTGCGAGTTCGAGACCAGCCTGGGCTACGGTGAGCTCAAAGCCAGCCTGAACTGCATAGCAAGACCCTGTCTCAAAAAGACAAAAATAAGAGTATTAAAGTGGAAATATACTGTAGTGCACAAAAAAGTTTCAAAAGGCTGAATAACACGCTCCTCAAAGCACTGAGTCATTAGCCATTTAATGAGATGACATTTAGTCCGTCTCTTAACAGGGCCTGGCTACTTCAAGATACATATGCAATAAGAGGTCCTTTCCTGGCCTTACCTTTCTGTGAAAGGGGATTGAGATGGACCAGAACAAGTTAGTGCCCTCCTTCCAATCCTGTCCTAACCGTGCTCTGCGCGCCCATTGGGACCCTTAGCGGGTGCTACCTGTGGTGACCCAGGCTCCTGCACTAGACTGGGCTCAGAGGCGATCTTTTCTCCTCTGCCGCGACCTCGCATGCAAACATCTGCAGAGTTCATTTGCTCGGTTTGCTTTTCCCTTGGGGCCAAGGAAGCCTGCACCGAGGAGCAAAGGCCCTGGGTTAGGGCAGGGGGTCGGCGGCCAGGGCTTTACCAGGACCGACCTATACTGCCCAGCAGAGCGAGGTGGCGCAGGCCCTGCTGCCCACGCGCAGGTGGTCAGCCCGGGGTTTCCCAGGGACCTGGACCTGGTGTGTGACCTGAGTCTCAGCTTCCTGAATCTGGAAGGGAAGAGCAAGCCTTGCTCCGCAGAGCTGCGATGACGGAATAAAACCAAACCTTTGCCGCACAGGCAAATGCAAGCTTGCAAGCAGAGGGCAAGGACTCCTCTCCTCACCCTGGAGGCCGTGGGCCGCCGGCCGAAGGGGGGGGATGTTTAGGGGGTCGCCATGGAGACGGAGGTGGCGTTAGAGGGAGCCAGCACTGCTTGGTCCAAGCACAGCCTGCCGAGGGGCAGAGGTGAGCGCTGGAGCGGGGCGAGGGAGGGCGCAGGCATGGATGCGTGCACTCGCTGCTTGGTCTCCGCTGCAGATCCTGCACCGGCCCGCGAGTCAAAAAGAAAAACAGGAGACCCCGAGTTTGGGGGCTAACCCTCGGGGTCCTGGGCTCCCACTGCTGCCCTACCGGCCAGGGATCCCGGTCTCTGCGAGGCGCATGGCTGGGAGCCCGCAGGGACCTGTGCTGCGGGCTGCAGCTGAGGTGCGGGGACCAGGGTGTGCACAGGGAGTGCAACACGCGTGCACGAACACACACGCACACTCAGAAATATTCACGCACGGGGGCACCACACAGAGGCAGGCATTCGCACGCACACACACCCCAGAGGACCTCACACTCACACACCAGCACGCACAGAGGTGCTCACACTCACACACACTGCCTGCGCCGCCCCCAGGAATCTCGCACCGCTCAGGCCAGAGCTCCACAAAAGCGGGGTGCACTTCCCACCCTCCGCTCACCCCAGCTCTGCATCTTTGTTTTGATTTCCTGCCAGGCACAGGGCCTTGAGTTCAAGTGGCGAACTCTCTAAAGTGAACACCTGGCGTGTGTGCGTGCATGCAAGTGTGCATGTGTGCAAGCATGCGTGTGATCATCGGAGACGGTGAGCTCTGCAAAGCCCCCTACCGCTGCCCCCCTCTTTTTTTGGCGGAACCTGGGATTGAATTCAGGCCCATCTTCCTGGCTGCCCCCTTTTTAACAATCATTTGTGAAAGGAGGTAGGACTTCGAACTATCAAAAAACTCCTCTCTGCTCTTCCCAAAATAAATTACTGTTGCTTGAAGAAGAAAATAAAACCCTTTGGGGAAAATGGTTAGTTTTAGTTTTTAAACCAAGAAGAATATTAGCAAACTTTACCAAGATTAAACATGGGAAGCATCAAAATAAGCTTTGTGGAGTGGGGGCCCCTCCTCCTCCCCCCGCCGAGGTCTTTGCCCCAGTTACTTCCTCTCTTTGCTGGGGAAGTGTTTGGGGCCCCTTCGTATCCCCTCGCGGAACCCCGTGCCCGCGCGCAATCGCAAGCTTCCACAGCGTCTGATTTCCAAGTCTGTGGATCCCGTAACCGCAGATGCTATGTATGTCTGCTCTTGACGAGCCCCTACTCTGGCTCGATAGGGTGGCAAACAGCGTCCGTGTACCCTGTCAGTACACAGGGGCTTCGCTGTGACACCAACGTGTTGTCAGCTCTTGCTGCTTCTGTTTTACAAAATTCCTCTTCCCACAGCTCAAGGATGTCGGACAGCGCTAAAGACGTAGCTGTGCGTTTGCTGAGGAAAAAGGGGAGCCTGTCCCCGCTCAGCAGCCTCGAGGGCCACAGGAAGGGCACTCAGGGCCGCAGCAAAGAGTGAGTAGCTGGCCGGCGCCTCAGTTCGGTTATGGGATGGGCCGGCGTGCAGTGCTTATCAGGGGAACAAACACACATTTCTTTGGGGACATGAAAGCGAAAAGACAGTAGATACGGGGCTCAATTCATCTTCTGGGCCACACTAAAAATAGGAAAGAGCGCGTACTCATGTGGAACGTTGATGCCAGCAGCACTTTCCCTGTTTCAAAGACTACCCCAAGCCCCTCAATTCCAGAGAAATAATGTGCGCAACACAGCCCAAAGCAGCTACTCTGACAAGATTTCCTGGGTTCTTCAACTCTGTATCATATGACTACATCATGATGATGTCATATGTAGGATGAGGGTTGCACAAATATAGTATGTGCTTAAATTTTTCTAGCAAAAGATAGGTTGCCATGAATCCCCCTCGAGACACTGCCTGGCACACCCGTCCCACCAACTGGCCACGTCCTGCAGCAGCTCTGGCACCCTCTTTCCTGAGGGTCTTTAGCTGCGCTGTCCTGGCTGCTTCAGTGTCCTGAATTGGCTCAAAACATTGCCCTTTCTTGGTCATTTTGACTTTGGGGAGGAGCCAGAAGTCACACGGTGCCAGATCCAGTAAATACGGTGAATGAGGATGCACTGTGATGTTTTTATTTGGCAGAAATTTCCTTAAATATTTCTAATCAATTCAGGACATCAGGTCAGCCATGAAATGACCCTCAGGAAAGAAGACTTCCAGAACTTCTTCAGAAAGTAGCAAGAACAATGGGAATGGGACAGGTGTGTTCAAAGTGTGTAGGGTATTAATGATTAATGAAGTGTGTGAGATTAATGGTAATGTCTTCTACTGTGATATTTTAACTCAGTCATGTATTTTGAGCACTCTCTGTACTTATACAATCCACTTATCCAACATTAATACAAAATTTGCACTATATTTTATAGTCATTTTCTATAGCTTTTTAAATGGCTGTCTAATATTTTGTGAATTTATAATCTGGGTTAATTAATATTCTCCAATTATTGTGGAATTTAAGTTTGTTTCCTCTTCTTCTTTTTCACTATGTATTAAAACTTGCGTTGGTTGGGGCTCTTTCAACATACTGCACGTATTCTTCTAAATAGATGAATCAATGTTTAAAACTTCCACGGCGCTGGTAAGTGAGCACAGCATGTGAGGGGAGTCATGACCTTCTACGAAAGACTTTCCTTCCTAAGAGTCTCAACAGCGTTGAAGGACGTGAGCCCCTGTGCCCCCTAGCGGAGAAACAGGCGCTGTGCATGGCGGCAGGAGCCTGCAGAAGTGGACTATTTAGAGTCAGGTCTGGGAAGGTATTAATGCGCTCGCCTGCAGCTCTACTTTCCAGCTCCGCAAGTTCGAGGGTTACACACGCAAGCTCTCCCTATTGCAAACGTGTGCTGAGTACAAAAGAGTAGCGAGGAGTCCTAACATAAAAAGAAGGTGAGTTTTTAATTTTGTTTTTCACTGAAACAATCAATAATAATAGAGGTGGTGGCTGCTCACGTCCATGGGGCCCCTGCTGCGGACTCCCTCAGGCCTCCTGGAAACTCGGGCTGTAGGGATCAGCGCGCTCCGGTGCCCAGCGCTGGCTGCCTCCTGTTTGGCGTGGACCCCTCACTAAGCAGGGTTTCTGCATTGGTGAAAAAATTTAAAAAGAGGCGTATTACTTTGTGTCATGTGAAGAATGAGAACTTCAGCTTCAGTGTCCCCAGATCAAGTTTAGCAGCACTCCGCCGTTCTCGATCGTCTGTCATCATCTCCTGCTGCTTTCAAACTCCACAAGGGAGAGTGTCGGCCCTGGAAGCCCGGGGACCACAGAGCCAACAGCGCTGCTGAGGAGGCCTCCTGCGCGAACACCGCAAGTCCTGCTCTGTCAAGGTAGGCACTATTACACGCGCTTTACAGATGAAGGAACAGAACTTTAGACAGGTTGAGGCTCCAAAGCTAGAACTAGCAAGGAGCAACAACAACAAGAAGGCTTTTGTTGATCAGCCAAATGTTTTCTCTCCCTGAAAACCAACAATTTGAGTGCATTCATGAGTCCTTTCTATTTATTCACCAGAACCTGGGGCTTCTCACCTATGGGCCGGAGCAGGTAGTGACAATGATACCTTTCTTGCTGGAAGCATAGCATCTGGCAGACCTGGCGCAGTGAATAGACGAGCTCTTCTTGTGTTCTCCAAATTGAAACAGAATCCATGAGGTCAAGTGACATCCCCAGAACAATGTGGCATGATAGGCAGCCTCATTGTCCCCGAGCTGACAGTCCCACTAGGAGGTCAGGGTGGAGATCCAAGACTGAAGCTCTCTTTCACATCAAACCAAAGTGTGGTGGTGTCGTGGATTTCCGTACAGATCCTGCTCTCCAGCTGGACCCGTTCGTGCAGCCAACACACTAGGCAGCCGACACCATGGGTGCTTTTCAAACTCACTCATTCAAGAATTAGCAAGCATCTGCTGTTTCCTACTGCTGTGCCACAGGCTGAGTATGGAACGGTGAATAACTGCAACTTGCTTTCCACCTAATTGAGAGCCACCTTGCAACTTTTTCAGGCAGGCCGGGTCTTTCCATTAAAAGTAACCAAATTGGAAAAGATTGTGTTCATCACTGTGTTCTAAGCAGTTAGAGCGACACGGGAACATTCCCTGCTTTGTAGAATTTAAATTCAGGTGGAAAAGACAATAGGCAAGTGGTTTTCAATGTGATAAGTGGATTCCAAGATCCTAGCTGCTCCCAGGCAGTTAGAATGATGCTGCCAGGCCGATGTCCCTGTCTGGATACCTGAGCGAGAGGCCGGGGTCTGATCTGAGCTGGGTAAGTGATGCGGCTGAGGAGGACCCCCTGAGCAGCTCTCCTTGAAAGAGGAGTGACTGTCTCCATTCTGACTGAGCCTGACCCTATTTCCTCGTATAGATAGGAACAGAGCTGGCTGGGACTTCAGTTTATCCATTCAATGGGCCTCAGGCAATGTGTATTGGGCTAGCTGAGGTGCTGGTGATAGTCTTTGAAGGTGGTGTGCATGTTTCCCTGGTAACCTACACCTGCTGCTCTTTAATGTGAGCCTGGTTGAGACAGGACGGTAGAGCTAATGTTCCTCGCCACCAGCTGGGATCGAGCCTTGAGATAGAGGCTAGAACTTCCTGGGGCCTGAAGGATTACATCAGAGCAGAAGCACCAGACATGCAAAATATTAGATACTATTTCAATAGCATAATGCAGATTATTCTTTCTGCATATCCTTTCTGCATATGGCAGAGGAAATGTAGGCCACCCACCTAGTTCAGCTCACAGAGTCACCTACTTCCCACAATTCTCAGTCAATCCTCCTCAAGCCACTCCTCCACTTTATAAAACTGGGTGAGGCCCTGGGTCAGTCTCTTTGTTCCTGAAAGCCAGCTTCATGGCTGGACTTAGGGCCCCTTGGCTCCCCAACAATTATAAATATGTTTTGGTGTCTTTACTTTCGCCATGGATTGCACTGGGAGTGGTAGATTGGAATTAACTTGGTAGGATTGCAATAACGTATCTTTGGGATTACAAATATTGACTTCTTGGACCGAGAGGAGAACCTGGAAGGGACTCCTACAGCAGCCTCTTCATCACCCTAAAGAGGGAATGAGAACTGGCTGAGGTACAGCTTCCGCCATAGAGCGAGGGGCCAGGGCCGACTGCAGTGGTGACGTTTCCAAATTAAACCAGAATTATAGCTAGTCTTGTTAGTAAAACATTTCACATGTAATACCCGCGTACCTCTTAGAAAAGCCCCATGGGTCAGGTGGGAAGATAAAGTATTCCTGTTTCTTTTTATGAGAAAATGATGCGTTTTTCATAGATTGCGTTGGGAGAAA